AGAAGTGGTAATGTCTGGAAGGCGCCCCCCCACCCCCCCCCCCCCCCAATACGTGGAACAGAAACCTCGCTGCTGCGTTTGTTTTTCGCGGTTGTCATCGTCACTGCCGTGCCAGATCAGGGCAGCTCGGCTATGTGCCCCGTCGCTCTGTGTGCGCACGGAGAGAGGGAAGCGATGTCTAAGTGGGGGCCTGCGTCGTTTTAAGCAAGCGACGAGTGGCGTCGAGACGCCGCTAGTCGCCACCACCAACGTCGTTTGCTTTAAACGGCGCCACCACCAACGTCGTTTGCTTTAAACGGCGCCACCACCAACGTCGTTTGCTTTAAACGTCGCCACCACCAACGTCGTTTGCTTTAAACGTCGCCACCACCAACGTCGTTTGCTTTAAACGTCGCCACCACCAACGTCGTTTGCTTTAAACGTCGCCACCACCAACGTCGTTTGCTTTAAACGGCGCCACCACCAACGTCGTTTGCTTTAAACGTCGCCACCACCAAAGTCGTTTGCTTTAAACGTCGCCACCACCAACGTCGTTTGCTTTAAACGGCGCCACCACCAACGTCGCTTGCTTTAAACGGCGCCACCACCAACGTCGCTTGCTTTAAACGTCGCCACCACCAACGTCGTTTGCTTTAAACGGCGCCACCACCAACGTCGCTTGCTTTAAACGTCGCCACCACCAACGTCGTTTGCTTTAAACGGCGCTTCGTGGTGGCTGGCGCCGCGCTCTGATCCCAAGTCGTTCGCAAAACCGAGGATGCCGCCCGCCTCCGCACGGTTACAAGAAATCTGGGACGCAATTGTGGGCAGAGGCAAAATGAAATCTCACAATACCTGGCGTCGGAGAGGCCTGTTGTGCGTGTAAATGTATTTTGTCCTGACCACTGTATTATTGCACAAATTATAACAAAACCCGGACTTTTAATGTCGTTGGAATATTTACAGATTTCCCAGAATAGCTACCATGAAAAGAGGGATAATCCTGGGAAACGCAGGACATGTGGTGACCCTTTTCAAACCGCGTCATCCAACTAATTACGTTTAGTTACAAAAACAGCATTGGACAGAACATATTTTAACGGGCAACAAGTTTAGCCTAGGTCGTGGTGAAAGAACGTACCAAGTTGGACTAACTGCAGCATTGAACAAAAAAAATAAACAAATCTACAAAAGACTGGCACTTCCTCTCGCGAAATATGTTTTTAAAAAATCAGTGTGTTCTTGTGAGCAATATGCTGTACATGGCCCATCCTGATTGGCAGAAACACTAAAGACGTTCCAGATGGCCTGGAGGGTCGAAATTTGGTACAGGTATGGTCACATTTATAAACGTGCGTTTATATTATTTAGCTGCAATAAATGTCCACGTGATTAGCCATTTCGTTGAGCTATCATTTGTGGCCAGGTCGCTTCTGAATAAGGGCTATATATAGCTAAGTGGGCCTTCAGTGGTCAAATTTAAATAGTTAGAAGGGTACGCAGGGGTTGCGTCTGGTTACAAATGGTAAAATCCAGAACCATACATAAACGGACAACGTAAAAAAAAACACTTTTTGGGTTTTTTTAAATCTATGGCGATGGAAGTTCGCGTCCTGGAGAGTTTAAAAAAGTGCTGAGTCCTAAGATGTGATCGTATATTTGATCACTCAGTGTATTGGGTACTGTTTGGGTGAGTGTGATACTAAATCAAATTTCAAAGAGTAAGGAAAGCTCGCTGACAAGCAGCTACTAGTAAGTAGAAAAACTAAATCTCGAGATGTGCTTTGATTTCTCCCAGCTGGGCCAAATCTCATACAGTACCCTTGTCAAAAGCTGTTTGTGATAACTCATCTCCATATATATATAAGGCAAAGTTGTGAGTGTGTGTCTATTCAAAATGTTTAGCGTACTTCCCGACATGCAACAAACTGCTAATTTGCCATGTGGGTACTTTCCAGACTGTACACAATGCAAACATTATAAAAATACACTTTTTTTTTGGTGGGGGGGAGCTCAATAATGCATTTGTTTTTTTGCACGGCAAGTGAGCTGTGACGTCAAATCTGTAATGTGACCCGCGCATGTTGAATTGTAACGCATTGTAGTGTAGTGGTTAGCGCGCTGCGCTACGAACCCGGCGACCCAAGTTCGAATCCCGCTCACGGCCACCACCGGTGACGATTATTTGAACCGGTCCTAGGCCTTCCCTAGGTCGACTCAGCCTCAAACGAGTAACTGGTGTGGTGTGTGAACATCGCCACTGGGGAGACAAAGGTGAATCCAAGTCCCGGGCGAAGCAAAGCTAGTCAATTATAAATTCCCAGCGTTCCGTTTGTCAACTAAATTCTAAATAGTCTTTCAGAAGGCCTGATAACAAAATTATCGACTTCCCTCCAAATATATACCTACACACCCTACATACAATAAATACCTACACACCCTACATACAATATATCCCTACATACAATATATACCTACACACCCTACATACAATATATACCTACACACCCTACATACAATATATACCTACACACCCTACATACAATATATACCTACACACCCTACATACAATATATACCTACACACCCTACATACAATATATACCTACACACCCTACATACAATATATACCTACACACCCTACATACAATATATGCCTACACACCCTACATACAACAGTCGTATCATACATGGGGGCGGGGAGAGGGGGTGGGAAGAAGACATCAGTGGGGGCTACGGCGAGATTCAAAGTGCAGTTCAAAAACAACAACAACAACAAGAAAAGCCTCCATCTCATACACGTGAAAGGCAACGAGTCGACTCACGCAATCATTTCTTGCGAATCGGCCTCGGCCGAGCCAACTCCTTGCCCGGGGGGAGGGTTCAGGGTCACAACCCGGTATCAATCTCGATTGCATGAGCGGGTTTAATCCTGTGTGGGTTGCCACTGGATCTGTGTGTTTCCGTTCACGTACAGCGAGTGGCTGCTGCGTACATCAGGACTCGTCTCGCGTGCGATTGTCGTGTTAGTTACGGACATCAACAGCTGTTGACTCTCTTACGACATCTGGAGAAGGTCCTCCTCCGACTGTGCTTCCTTCAGCTGTTCATTCACAAAGACAAAGGCCCCCCGTGTAGCCTTAACAGACTGTTGGGGCAAGTGCTGCTAGCGAGTGGCAACCTATGAAGGAAGGGCACGGCGCACGAGGGGGTGGGTGGTCAACACCACGCCCGGCCGCCTTTGTCTCTCGCGTGGCGATGTTCACACACAACAGCAAAACGCATATGCCTCGACACCCCCTACCCATGGCAAGAAAACACAGATACGGATCAATATTGCCCTGCTTTTATGAGATACTACTGCAAGTACCGTGGGCACGGCGGGAACCCCACGAAACAATCATTGGAGAGATAGTGGATGATGGGGGGGCTGTAATGATTGACCTTTTGCCGGGGATTTTGCAGGCGTAATCTTTAAACTCCCGATGAACGCCCAAATTAATTCATCGTAACAGCAGCGATAACAAACAGACCACACACGCAGTGGTTTGTTGGTAATAACAGGGTCTCAGTGCTCGCCGATTAGGAAATGTTTAATCTGCTTCGTGAGCAGATTCGTGAGCTTACACTCGCGAGGGGGGCCTTGTTGTCATCGTGTTAAAGTTGGTTAACGCCCTGCAGCCACATACAAACATGGGGGGTTTAAAAAAATGTTATTACTACTACTGTACTCAAATGATGTTAGTTTCATAAACACGCGATCTCGGTATGTAACATTCCGGCATGTTCTGCGGTTGCTGTGGGACCACGTCTCTCAATACTGTTGGACATTGAGTTTGCGCGCGCACACGCACACGCACACGTGTTTCATGCACTTGCTGTACTCTGTCAGTGCCAGATAAAGGCGCAGCCCTGCAGGTACTCGCTCTTGCCACCGCTTGACACAGTCAAAGTCTCCTCCACTGCGAGGGGGCTCGTGGGAAGAGAAGAGCTCCCCTTCTCTTCCCCACCTCCTTATAGGACAGTTGGCACGGACGTCTAAGAGGTTGGCAGTGGCAACTCACTCTTTGCCCCACAACACGCGACCTGAATTGTACGGCCGCGTTGGATGGACACCGGGACGACGGAAATTGATAAAAAAAAATCGCGCTTCGTGTTCAGCTGCCGCGCCCGGAGATTGAACCCGGCCAACCTTTTGACGTCCGGCGTGTTCACCATTACGCAGCGGCAGTAAAGTCGTTCAGGCACTTTGCGTGGCATGTAGGCAACGTGTGGACTCGTGCGACATCTGTTCAAAGTTTGCGCCTGAGTGTTAGAATCGTTTGCGCCAGACGTCATTTGTTAACTACCGCGTTTTATTGCGTTCTGAGCTTTCGGTTCGACGTGTAATTATACATTTTTTTTAAGACGGAACAGCGCGCACGCACGCACATTGCATTAACGAGTTGTAACGTGTGCATCACGAACCGAATAAAAACTCAAGCCACCAAGAAGCGACGCCTTGCACGTGCATCGAGCGACATAAACGAAGATGCCGCGTGGATCAGAGAACGCACGCGAATGAATGAAGATGATTTAACAAACGTTGCTGTGCGCCAGGTCACGGTGGCTGCGAGCGGTGGCCGCTTTGGTCAAGAATCGTTGGCGGATGACGGCGAAGGAATGGAAGGCGGAGACGGAGAGACGTGAGATCGTCTCGCGTCCAGGATTATTATAACATCGCAGGATGATCACACGAGGCAGCCTGAGGAGGAGGCCTCTATCCAGCAGTGAATTGACCGTGGCTGGTGACTACAATGATGATGGTGATGATCCAGACACGGATCACAAAGTGGAGCATGCTCGTGCCACGCGCGTACAGAGCTCGAAAGAAAACAAGAACTGCTTGACAACATCTGTTTAAAGACACATCATCATCATCACTGTAGCCATGCGATCACCCACACTTGTAAGAACGACACTGGGGATGTCGATCAAAGTTGGACACGCGTAGTTCAATCGACGAACGTCTTCTCAACTCACCGAGGCTTCCACACAGCGCCGCTGCAAGCCAGATGACGAGGATGCTGCTGCTGCTGATGGTCATCTTCATCCTGGCGGAGACCCACGACCTAAGCAGACAGAGGACCCCACACGCGCGCGTCTGTCTGCGAGTGCGTCTGGAGTGTGCGCACACAGACTACAACACGGTTCACTGGCTGCGCTGCTGAGGATGCGGCTGTGTGAGTAAGGCAGGCAGGGAGGGGGAGGGAATGGCTTTGGCTTAAGGGGAGAGAGGGGCGGATCGCCGAGAGGGCGGAGGGAGGGACAGGCACGGCCGACCTTCTTTCACTTCTGGTTTTAAGGAAGGCGACTTCGGAAATGTCCAACGCGCGCGCTCCGTCTGAATAACAAAGACAATAAACATCCTACCATCACCCCCCCAGACCACCCTCTGTTGTGTAACGGCCTCCCCTTTGTCAGTCGATCCACGAGTCGACTTGTGGACGAAAGGCGCCCGCCACTACGCCGTGTCGGTGTACGTGGGGTGGCTGCTGTGATCCGACGCGCTGCTTCAGCACGCCGGTCAGTGCGGAGTGGTGAAGGGAGGGCGGGCAAAAGTGCAGCCCCTGCAATTACCTGTCCGCGCCGCTGCTGGCCAGAAGGATCGCCACGAGAGGGTTGGGGGCATTTGGTCAACTTTTCCGCGCTTGGACTTAACGTCTTGGGAAATGTGGGAGAATCCCATACCCCGCAATACGTTGCTAATTGGTGTGCACTATCTTATACTGCAGGGTGGCCAGAGGCATTGGGGGCCGTCCATAAATGACGTAACGCGATTTTGGACGACTTTTGACCCACCAATCCCTGCGTCACACGGCGTCACAAAAAGTCAGACCCATCTTCAAATATGACATCACAAAGCATGCTTCAAATCGCTTTAAACTATTGTCATTGTAGTGCGTATTTAATGTGGCGCTGCACTCTGATGTTGTAGGAGAAAAGATTTATTAAATAATCAATTTAATTAAGTAGAACGTGTTGTTGTCTATATTTATTTAAAGTTGCGCATTTTGATGTGACGTCACATTTCTCACCCCCCCCCTCGTCATACATCGTCACAAATGTCTGATCCCCCCACCCCTAGGTGCGTGACGTCATTTATGGACGGCCCCTTGGGGGAGGGTGGGGTGGTGGTCACTGCCACGCCTGGAGAAGGAACTGGCTCACCTCTTTATTGCAAGCCCAGTGTGCCGCTAAACACTGCACCACGGAAACTTTGCCGAAGAGAGGGAGGCGGTTCACAACCGGTTCGGTTACCAATCGCCACTGATGTGAGCCGTGGCCGGGATTCGAACTTAGGGTCCCGAGGAGTCGAGCAGAGCGCTCGAACGACCTCTAATTCACAACACCCCACGCGTGCTTTGGACGTGACCGTCCCTCCCTCGAGCCAGCCAGCCAAACTTTTTTTTTGGAAAATAAAATATCGTGATGTAAATGCGTTGAGCGCATTGTTAGTAAACAGCGGCGGTGTTGGCATCGCAACGCGTGACTCACAGTCACGAAGCGACGCGTTTCGAATCCACATTCGTGAGTGCACTCGCAGCCTAACCCATCCCTGCGGGGTTAGTAAAAAGAGGGCCACTCTCTGTCGTGTGCGCGTGTGTGTGTGTGTGAAGTCAGCGGTAATTGTCTCTGGGTAAAGATGTGTTGTTACCCGCTGTAGGAATGTGGAACTTCCACTTCTACCGATTGTGCGCTGTGGCCGCGAATCGAGCGCATGCCGTTGGGTTGGTAGCGCAGCGCACGGAACAGCGCACTGCGTCAACGCTCCACACCAGCGTTTCTTGTCGCGTTGTAAACTTTGCCATTGCGGGTTTCTCTCTCTCTCTCTCTCGTTGAACGTTGCCAGAACGGGAACGTGACGTCAAACGAAGATTTGTATTCCAGCTGACAGAGTGCGTGGCCCGTTCTTCCCGCTTTGCGACGGAGGACGCAGGCGACCTTTCCCGTTTTGGGGAGAGATCGCCACCACCGCCCCCCCCCAACTTCCGGACAAATAATGACGAGGAGCAGCTGCCCAGGACATCACAATGAGCATGCCGTGTTAGACTAATGTGGAATTACCATCGCTGCCTCGGGGACGGCGATTGAGAGGTTCCACTGGCCACTGCTTGTTATGTTTCTTTGTTACATCTCGCTTTGTAAGTAAACAGCATTACCGTGCACAGGTTAGGTACATCGTCATATTGTCGCTGAAAGGAATGGAGTTGAGTTTTTGTGTTTGTTACCTTTTCTAACGGTCAATATGCCGGTTGCTCGCTCTGCATCGTTCGCTCACCCCCACGCGTTCGGCATCCCGTCTCTCGGTGTCAGTGCAGGCGTGAACATTTCCGTTCTGCTTGGCACGACTTCGCTTTTGCTCCAGCTTCTTTTGGCAACGCCATTTCCCCTTCCCCTCCCTCCATTTACAATTGCGCCCTTGGGCTCAAGTCCAGGAAGAGTTCTGGCCTCCATGAACATCGGGTACTTCGCTCGCAATGGTTCTAGCGATGCCTGTTGAGACGCTCATCATTGCTCGTTACTGAACTAAATCCTGCTGATGAGATGCAGGGGCGGAGCCAGGGGGGGGGTGACAGGGGTGACGTTCTGCGTGTAAGTGTACGACACTCGGTCTGTCGGACTGCGTGCAACTGCATTGTCAGAGTGTGTCGCCAACCGATGGCGCCTAGTTCAACAGCCTGACTCTCTAATTATTATTGAAATTAAAATTTGTTGAATGTCACCCGGGCCTGAAATCCTGGCTCCGCCCCTGATGAGATGCACTCTCAGACGAAGGTCACGGACTGTTTTGTTTAAAAAAAAAATACTCGCGTAAAAAAACAGATAAATGTGGGAAGAGGAGGCGTTGTGTATTTTGTGATGAAATTGGATTCTCAAGTTGATGATCTCAGCCCGAACAACGATGGCTGCACACACGAAATAACACACTTTGTTTTGCAATTAATTTTGGCTCAACTCCAGCTCGGTGAATGAAACAGTTTGTCCCGTGACAATGTCATCGTAGAGTGTGTGTGGGAGAGTGCACACCCCCTCCCACCACCCCCAATGTGTGGAGGACGCAGCAGGACACTTAAATGATGTTTCGGAAGTCCCATTCAAAATATTTATTTTGCAGCCATTCTCTGCACCAATTCACTCCGGCCACTCGCTCAGAGTCGTTCAGTTACTTCCCTATCGCTCATCTATCGCTACGACCGTGGTTACTGTTCCCCTGAAGCTCCCTTCTTGATCCTTCCACCCGTGCTGAGGATTCGGTCTACCACAGCCTGGCCGGTGTCGTCTCATCCACGCTGCGTTCAACCACCACACTGCACAAAATACAAAGATCTTCCGTATAGCCTTAACAGACTGTAGGGGCAAGTGCTGTTAGCGAGTGGTACCTATGAAGGCCGGAACGATACAGTGGCAATGTTTACACACCGCACCAGGTACCCATTATGAGGCTGAGTCGACCTAGGGGAGGCCCAGGACCGGTTCAAATAATCGCCATCGGTGTTGGCCGTGAGCGGGAATGGAACCCGGGTCACCCGGTTCGTAGCACAGCGCGCTAACCGCTGCACCACCGCTCCCCACAGGTCACAACAACTCACTCACCAACTCACTCACCCACTCACTCACTCAGTCGCTCGCCTCCTCATCAAACTCACCACACCGCAGGTCACGAACACTTTTGTCTTTCTGCTTCTTCCCTCGCCGCTGCTCCACTGAGCAACCCCCCCCCCCCCGAGCTCTTCATAACGGTGACCTCGCTCGACTCGGGACGCGTGCGAACGACGTCTGTGTCGTTTTAGAAACGTCTGACAGCGCCGTTTGTCGCCGGCCGCTTGATGCTTGGGGCCTTTGGGGTCCCGAGCTTAGCGACTGCATATCAGTAAATAAAAACAAACAAACACACACACACACATGGAGCGGACCGCTGTGCGAGATCTCCAAATGGATTCTCCGTCTCGCGACGCGGTGCCGACAAGCAGCGATTGGATACATTGGGGCGAGGTGAGGTGGAGAGAAGAACGACCAAATAATTCTTCAAATATATGCATTTTTTGGTGAACCAATTATTTAATTCATTTCACAAAACACACAGCCTTAGGCGTTGTACAGCGGTGTCGTTCAAAAACATTTTACGGACAGCCTTTATACATTAATGGGGGAGCACTCTACTGGCGTGATTCAGGGCGTCGAGTTGCGGCAGCTGACGTGCTAATTGTGTACTTTGAGGGGTGTTTTAAAGTACGGGGGATGAGCTTAATGGGCTAACAAACTCCCCCGGCCGCCTTACGTCTCCCTTAATGCCACGGCCTTTCTGTCTTCAGACTCCGGGCTGGGCGGGCGAAACTGCGCGAGTCGAGGTGCGATGTTCCATTCCGAATGTTCTTTCATTATAGACCGCATCTCGCGTGGTAGTGAACGGATATCGTTTGTATATTAACAAAACATTGTGAAAGAGATAACGAATCTCAATGGGTCATCCTGGTTAAAATACATTACCATCATTACGTGCATAGGAGATGGTACATCTCCATGAGCGTCCATGTGGTTAAATAAAGAACACCGTTGGCCGATGGGTCCGATAGGGCATTGAGACCCGTGTTAAAAACGATGCACGCACATGCGCGGTCCGTTTGTCAATCCACTGCTCGATGTGGCATTCCGCACGCCTTGTGGGGTTACTTGACCATACCTCACCTTCCTAGTGAAGGCAGGAAGCATGCACGTGGGAGCAAACAGTATAGAAGGATGTCGTATAACGCAGACATTTTTATCCGGCTAACTAGGTAGGCAAATTGGAGCAAAGAGCTCCTGGCACAGACAATTTCCACCTCCAATAAGCTCGTGCGCTTTGGGCTCCTTAAACAGCTTGGCTGAACACTAAGCTGTGTGCAGAGATAGCGAGGCTTTCTGGGTGACGTAACAACTGGCTGCCTGATGAGCTGTCTGGCTGAGTGGGTAATCCATTGTCTGGCTAGCTGACAGGCTGATGATGGACTGGCTGATGGACTGGCTGACAAGCTGATTGTCTGAGTGACTGGACGATAGGTTGCCTGATGATTGGCTGGGTCAGTGGGTAGTCCATTGTCTGGCTGGCTGACAGGCTGATGATGGACTGGCTGATGGACTAGCTGAATGACTGGCTGACGAGCTGATTGTCTGGATGACTAGACAATAGGTTTCCTGATGACTGACTGGCTGACTAGCTCACTGGCAGGATGGTGTGCTGGCTGGTTAACATCTCGCCGCGGTGGCCAGATG